AAACTTGTGTCAAAAATATGGTGCCATGGATCCGCCCCCATATATATATATATATATATATATATATATATATAGAAAGGCGCAGACAAGACAAAGGGCTGTGAATTTCGAAATTGATATAACAATATATATATTTTAACCTTGATATATATAATCACAGATAACATGGTCCACAAGGTGTCTTTTCTTGAATCTTTGGTTGGATCAGATAGTTTGATAATGGATTTCAGTGCAATTTGTCCTAATCATTCCGACTTTTTCGTATTAAGTATATAAACGATTGGGAAAGCACATATTAATCTGTTTTAACTATATAACAAAACACAGTACTGTTCTTATCATAATTTATAGTAATCATTGCGTACTAAACTCACATAGGCTATACCGATATTATGATTCGAACTCAAAATCTTTATAAGAGGGAAAATGGAGAGTATTTGCTCCAAACCATTACATTAGCGGGTCTTGTGCATTATCATATTTTGCACTAGTTATCCCATCTATAAGACGAAATAAAAAAACAATTCACGTGTATTTTGCTCATTTGAAGTGATTTAGTGATCGAAGCAAGCATCATTGTCATAAACTTCACATGATATCATGCTTGTTTATTTGAAAGGACCAAGTCCTGATTTGATATCACTTCAAATTTCTTCTTACTGTCTCTCTCTCTGTAGTGAACGTGTTGAGAATTTCTTTGTAATTTTCCTCCCACATCACGCCAAGTTAACAAGTCAACAATAAAGACATTTTCTTTTACTCGAACATAAAAGTAATGAATTAATTTTTACTTTAAACTAGCTACTACACCACATATTTCAGAGATAAGACTGGGCCGTGCTTACCTATATATTTTCGTTATCTTAGTAAATATTAAAATATCCATTAAATTTCCTTTCGATGAATTCAGTAGAAGGAAAAAAAAAGGGTCAAGACAAGTTAATTACTTATATATTAATTATTAAATTGTTCAGTAATACAAGTTTGGTAAGATTATATATATTGCGTTTCTCTTACAACTTTCTTCTCTCCAAGGCATTGTATAAAAATATAGCTAAGTTTTGTCAAGAGTTGGTGCACTGTATCTAATCTTTGTGGAGGATTTCAGGATCATATGGGGAAATCCCAAATTTACAAAGTGATTAGAGGTTAATTAAGACCCAAATATATTATATGTTTTGTTATGGGACTGGAATTAAAAGTAGACAGTAGCCACCCACCTGCCTCACAATGACCAAATTAACGTACCGAGTGGAGTTAATTAACAACCATAAATAAATAAAATTACAAGTCTTTGAATGGTCAAATCTCATGGTTGACACAGTTGGGCAACTATCAACTTTTTCTAGCCTCTGGGTTGGTACTGTTCGACTGTGAAACATATATATATTATGCGGACATTTAGAGACGCTATTGTAAATAAGGAGGAAAGTGTAATAGAAAATACATGGTGTTCACACGGTAATAACGTCCGGACATCACGTTGTTTGTGATAAAGTTTTAATAGCAGTTTAATTATGGATTAGACTGTTGGCCTTGAGAGACAAAAAAGCTTTCATGGTAGGTATCGTACGTATAATACTCAAGCTAGCTAGGACCTTAGAGCGAGACAATTTGCTGGACTTGATGCTGTTTGATTTAAGTAGCGGCCAGAAGTTGTATGATTCCAAATGTTTTTTTTTTTTCTTTCTTTGGGTTCGGTCAATATTGGATAATTCTAAAAGCCTAAACAAATAGAGAGGAACATAAAATATGCATCAATTATTCAAAACATTGACTGACTTGAGACTATAAATAAATAAATAAATATATAAATAAAAAGTTCTATAGAGATTATATTGTCTTCTACTTATAGAGCTCTACCTAAATTGTCTTCATTCTCAACTTGTGGAAAAAGAAAATGTGAATGAGAACACGTTAATGTTCATGACTTGATTACAAAACAACAAGGAAATAATTTTAAGTAAACCTTTTTTAATTAAAGACTATACTAAATTATTAGGGATATGTAATTTTAATATTCTGCCAGGCCGACTGATGAGAGATTGAGTCGAGTCATATAGATTCATGTGTATGGTATTAGCTAGCCATGACGTGATACTTGGTCACTAAAAGAAGCAAACATACAAACATGTTATGTATACAGTGAATCTTCGTAAGAATTATTGATCATGTATATTTCGTTTTATATATAAAACTTATAGAGCTCTAGCGTACGAGTAATTTTTTGGTGTGACTGTCACATTGTTTTTTTGCTAGAGAGGGGACTAGAGTTTTCCTATAGTCTCTTTCCGTTTGCATAAAAAAACCAAACACGTGTATATCTAATAAGGCCAATGCAAAAGGCAAAAGCTGCCAATTTGTTTTGGATGTATTGAATAAATTACAAGTTGAAATTGACACCAACATATTGTCGAGAGGGTTACCACAGTGGTTGCGGCCCTCCCTCTTCCCCTTCGCTTGACACCTAGGATCGAAACTCCAGGATTTCTTTCCTCTCAATGTAACAAAAGACACCAACATATTGTATATATTCAAAGGTGGGCTTGTGTTCGTACTGTAGAAGATAGTCCACAACTCAAACTATATTGGACTTTTCCAACAAAAACAAGGCATGTGCTGTGACCCAAGCAACCCACCCAACCCAACACACACAAACAATATCTACTCAGTTTTGTTTTTCTTTTTCCTTTCCATGTACAAAGATGGTCATTATGCAACAGTTTCAATCTTTATTGAGATCCCATTTTTGCAATCCATGGGTAGACAAAAGAACGTGTTGTTGCTTGCTGCACAGAGCTCTACTGTTCAGCCTGCAAGTCAATCTTACTTAGACCCCAAACGAGGAGAGGGCCCAACATATAACCTGCAATCTTGATCAAGTCATTGGGTCCTGTTTGGCGCCCTTCGCCGTCTTGTGCATCTCAAATGGTCTACATTGCATTGACTACACCATAATCATCGCTGCACATTGAAATCATTACTTTTCATATGAACTACAACCATACAAAAAAGAATTGTCTCCCGTTCAAAACCTACGTGTTGTTATTAATTCACGTGTTTTCGCTTAAAACGTTGAGGGATCATTTGTTAAGTTGTTGTCACCACTAATCCCTTGTTTGTTTAGTGACATGTGTTCCTCTCTCTGCGAAGTGTAAAGCTCGCATGGATGACCAATCACTGAAAAGTCAGCTTCGCTTTACAATTCAAAACCAGGCAATTTACCGAACCCCCACCCAAAAACACAAAAAGGAAATCAACTCATGACGGTTAGTGCTAAGTGGGGTGATTTTTTTAATCTGTGACAGAGGAAAGGAAACAATTATTTTTAAATCAGAAAAATAATTAATTAGGCCATAATCTTAGGCTTGAACCCTGTACGCGGAGACACGTGTTTGTTTGTTCCATCGCTATCATCATCAAAGTGTTTAAAGGAATCACCTTCCTTCCCTCATGATTCCATTCTGTTGGGTTCGTCGTCCTAAACATGTCTGCTAAAGTTTTATTTATTTATTTAAATTTTTAAAAAAGAAAAGAAAATGGGTTTGTTCATAGTGCAGGGAAAAAGAAAAGCAAGGATATGGTGATTTCTCTGTTCACCGAATCTCTCTTTTTTTGGTTGAGAATTAAATACCTGTCCTGTAGTCTATGATAATTCTTGCGCATTGAATGGATTGATTCATTTGGATTTAGTTTTCTGCAGTTTTACCTCATTTCTTTGCCACAAGTTACGGGGAGCCTTTTTGAGTCAGTGGTAGCTATTAATTAAGGGATTTTAAATGTAAAGATTTTATAATTAAATTGTTTGAGTAGAATGTGAAAAGGGGAAAATAAGAAAATAAGACATGGCAAGATGGATTTCACATGTTACATCGCAATAGTCATTTCAAAATCTAACACCGACATCTAATTGTGAGAAATCGGTTGTATACAATCAGAAAAACTTACTTATAACGGGTATATCACTGTTTTGTTATTTCCAATCAATGACACAATGACACGCGAAAAAATTATCTTACGTTCATTACGTTATTGACCATAAATTGTATAAAATGTTATTCCCGTTACATGAAAGTCATTCTATTATACGACAGATGTAAATAAATTGATAAATTCTTAGCCCAACTTGTAAAACAAATGAAGAATTGAAGTTATTGAATGAATTTCAACACCATCAATTCTTATATTATGGGATAGAACATGATTTTCCAAGATATTCTTGCTCTGCTCCAAAGAAAACATTAATAACTTGCCAATTTTAGTTGACACGCAATAAAAACCCTAATAATGTCGGTCAAACAATACAAGAAGTTAAATCATTGATAAAACATTTGCCGATTGATATCTAACATTCTTAACGTTATACCAAAATTAACGTTATATGCTTATAAACTCGGCACGACTTGTGTTCTGGCCGGTAATTTCTATATATTGTAGTAAGATCTAAATTTTTTACAATATTTACACCTATCGTAAAACGAAATGGATGACACTGCTCAAATTGCGTAACTTTTGTTAACCTTGCCAGCATAAACCATTTTTCCCCATCTCTGTAAAACTGTAAACTGTAAAAAAGCCAGTTCCAACCGAACGCAAGCAACCCCAAACCAAACTGTAAAAAAGCCAGCACACGTACAAAATCACAGCCTTCTTTCCCACTCTTTGGTTTATATATCTTTTCTTCTTCATCAACAGCCATTCTCATCCCTTTTCTATATCTCTCTCTCTCTCTCTCTCTCTCTCTCACACAGCTAGTTGTTCTTACTATTTTCCGTACGCTTTTTCATACGGATTCATGCCCTCACTTTTCTCCTACCCATCTGAAAACCGAAGCTTCTAGCCTTGTGACGCTCTGATATCAGAATTCTTCTGAATCTGGGGGCGTACATGAAAGCTTTTTCATCCGCCAGGGAGTTTTCGTAAATACACGATTCTCCGGGGGGGTCTGCTCCGACAATTAGAATTCTTCCGGGGGGTTTTGTGCAAAAATAAAAAAAAACATGCAGAAAACGAGCCCGACTCGGGCGGACCAGCTCAAAGCTTCCAACTTGTTCACATTCCCGGAAAAAATCCGCGACTATTTGGTCTTCTCCCTGCGTGTGGGCCTCCTCCTCTGCTTCCTCGCGTCGATATCACTCGCCATCTTCTCCGCCTTCTCTCCCAAGTCCCATTGGCTCTCCATCCCCTCCAGCACCCAAGCCCAACCCGAGTCCAGAACTTCCGGACCCGAACTCGGATATGAACGAACTAATATCTCCCACATTCTCTTCGGCATCGGAGCCTCCATCGCCACGTGGAGAGAGCGGAGCCGCTCCACCAATTTATGGTGGGACCCGAAGTCGACACGCGGCTTCGTCTGGCTCGACGCGAAACCCGATAACCAAACCAGCAACGTCTCGGGTTCAATTCCGTACCGGGTCTCGGAGGACTGGACCCGGTTCAAATACTCGAGTTCGCAATCCGCGGTTCGTATCGCCCGGATTGTGTACGAGAGCTTTAAGCTCCGGGTTCCCAACGTGAGGTGGTTCGTGATGGGAGACGACGATACGGTGTTTTTCACTCACAACTTGGTTTCGGTGTTAGCGAGGTACGATCACAATCAGATGTACTACATTGGAGGGAACTCGGAGAGCGTCGAGCAGGACGTGATGCACGCGTACGAGATGGCGTTTGGTGGCGGTGGGTTCGCCATCAGCTACCAGCTCGCGGCGCGCTTGGTGGAGCGGATGGACGGCTGCCTGGAGAGGTACTACAATTTCTACGGCTCTGATCAGAGGGTGTGGGGCTGCGTGAGCGAGATGGGTGTGCCGCTCACTAAACTGCGTGGGTTCCACCAGGTACGTTACTTTGTCGTGATTGATTGTGTGTGTTTTTTGGTTTACACGTGGCGGGATCTGGTGGTATTACTTCGTAGAAAAAGACTCTAAAGGAGAGTCGGCCAACAGTTTTTGTTTGCTGATGTCGAAATTTTAACGGCGGGTGTGAGTGGTTCTGTGTGTTTCTGCCACGTGTGACTGGGATTTGAATTGGGTTGAACGGCCCATGTTAAATCCGACACCTCACCTCGTCAAATCAACATAAAAAGATAATTTGAATTTGACTAGAGTCAAATTTCTTGGAACAGATTTAGTTGATAACCCATCATTTGGAAAAAAAAATCATGAAAGAATATTTGAACTTAAGGCAACATAACATGAACTCGTTGACAATAATATAACAATCATATTAGATTAATAAGCGATACCGTATTGAAGAAGGTCTCGAGTTCAAATTACAATTGTTGATTAAAAAAATATAAATTGTTATGCGACAACAAGATGGGGAACGCATACTAAGGTTGAGAACGGCATATATTCTGTCATTGTTCCAAATGATATGTTTTAAGCTCCTAAACAATATTATTCTCATGGCACCTGGCAAAGCATGATATGCAATACGATGTTATTGTTGGTAGGTTTTATGGTTGTTATGTGTGTTTAATATAATATGAGGATGTTAAAGGCTGCATGCATGTGTTCACTTGTCCTGTTTAGCAAAAAAGTTGGACACGTGTCGTGAAGTTGCTTACTAATTCTTCATTAGATTACTTCACTATGACAAGGATTAGTGTAAGGTGGCCTAGAACAACATAATGACCATCGAATCGCCCGTCTTCTTGTCTTTAAGCACTTTCCTTTGAAATTTTGGAATTTGGAAGTCTTGTGATTGCAAAAAGTAGGTGGCACAAATTTGTGCAAATGATTTCTTCCACCTGTCAGTCTAGACTTTCCAACCCACATTGCAAATTTGAGCTTTCTTTGAGGGCACCAGTGGAATTAATTAAAATTAAAAGCCTCTTTTTAAGTTTCTCCAACCGTTTTTCACAGCAGTAATTAGTTATCTACATGGTTTGGTTTGGTGGGTGAGTTTTAGGACCACAGGTTTAGGTTAATGTGTTCATTTCATAACACGTTATAATGCAAGTAGAATGATCATCATCAAGCGGATATAGCATGATTGCTGGCTTGGAGAGAACGCTTGTTACAGTTCTTTCGTTGTGAAAAATGAATGTGACCCGTTTGGTATGTTGTGGTATTTTTTTTCAGTTTGATATCAGAGGGGACGCCTATGGGATTTTAGCTGCGCACCCATTGGCACCACTTGTGTCACTCCACCACCTGGATACCTTGAAACCCCTCTTCCCAAACCAGACCCATTTGGACTCAGTCAAATCTCTTCTCCGTGCATATCGGGTCGACCCGGGCCGGATTCTACAACAAAGTTTCTGCTACGACCACAGGCGTAAATGGTCAATGTCCATTTCTTGGGGCTACACCATTCAGCTTTACCCATCAATGGTGGCAGCCCTGGACCTTCAGATTCCGTTGCGGACGTTTAAGACATGGCGGAGTTGGAATGATGGACCCTTCACATTCAATACCCGACCCATGAGTTCTGTCCCGTGTGAGCAGCCACTCATTTTTTTCTTGGACCATGTTAAGGTTAGTAAGAGCGGGCTTACTGTGACTACTTATAAGAGGTTCGTGGCCAATGGAGGACAGCAATGTGATAAAGAAGAGTATATCCATGCAAGGGCAATGCAGAAGATTATAGTCTCCTCAAACAAGATGGACCCTCAGTATTGGACAAAGGTAACCCCACTTTCATAAATCATATATTGCTCCTTTTTCATAAATAATATGGTTTGAGCTTAATTTGTGATTAGTGGTCTAATCTAAATTCTAATGGTTCTGATTTGATGGTGTTGAGCAGGAGGAGGCTCCGCGAAGAGAGTGCTCCGAGATTAAGAATCGTGACGGCTTCTGGCATGTGAATATGGAGATTAGGATTAGGGCATGCAGACCCTCTGAATCTATTTTTGTGTAGAGGGTTTAGGATGGCATGCAGTGCTGTGAGATTACAAAATATTATAGAAGTTTTCTTTTTCTTTTTGGCCTTAGCATATATACTACGTACGTACTTATAGATCAGCCCATGAGCTATATTAATATTGCACTCCTGTAAATATTCAAGTCTAATAATACCAAGGCTTAGATTAGTCCACACTTTAACTTTCCTTTGTTTTTCCCTCTCTCTCTCTCTCTCTCTCTCTCTCTCTCTCTCTCTCTCTCTCTCTCTCTCACTATTTGACGTGTCAATTAAAATATACGGCCGATAAATTCTTATGTCGAGAAATTCTGAAATGAGAAAATCAGGTCGTCACGTGTTCTCAGTCCACTCATATCATAACACAAGCATACGCACCTGCATATTGACGAATTGTGGCTATAAACGCACCCGCACTATCAATGAAGAAAGCATACGACATGCTCAATTTCCCACCCAAGCGAATAATGTTGTTGCATTTGTCAACTCAAGGGTAACTTTTAAAAAAGCTTGTGCGTGTAGTTGGAAAAGATCAGTTGCAGATGCTTGAAAGCATCTTTAGTGGTTTTAAAAGCATAAGCAACATGGGTGGATTCAGAATTTTAAAATAAGGTGGGTTAAATTTACTTTTAAAATGGAGTGGAACATAAAGATGCAGTTACTGCAGCGTACCAATTTATTTTTTAATTTTTTTTTTTTTTTTTTTCATCATTTTTTTCACTTATGGTGTGAAGGATGTGGCTGTACACTGAAAAGGAAAATTAAGAAATCGACTGTTTTCATAAAAAAAATATATAAATATAGATAAAAAGAAGTTGGCAATAGGCTAAAAAAGTAATAACAAGACGGAAATAATTTTTATTTTAGAGAGAACTTTACAGAAATGTCATACACAAGAATGTCCTGGAATAGTCAAAGAGAATTCAATTCATTAGTTTGTCTCATCTTAGGGTATGTTTACGTATCAGTAATGAAGAAAGTAAGGAATCGGAGAATTTAGGAATCGGAGAACTACTGAATCGGTATGGGAAGAATAATTCCCATTAAGTTGTTTACTAAACATATGGAATTAGCAAAGGAATGGGATTGATTCCCATTGTTATTGTTTACTAATTTGAATGAATCAGAATCCAAATTAATTTTAGAATTATGGTAAAGTGGTAAGGTTACTTTTGGAAGTTATTAAGAGAAAACAGGAATGTGAATCGTATCGACTACTCCCCCTTAGTTGATCTGATACATAGTTTTGAGGGAATGTGATTACGGATTTTGAGGTGGGGCTCACTTATTTTTTCATTCCTGATTGCAAGTAAACGCAGGGGAAGTCAGGAATGTAAATCATTCCATTTCCTTCCATACCTATTACTGATACGTAAACATGCCCTTAGAGTGTATCGGTGAATGAGCAATGAGCCTGTGAGTTTTTGGATGTGAGCATGGCATGATTGTCATTAGTAAGCATGGGTGGGCTAAATTAAATTTTGGATTGATAAGGAATCGCTGGTCATCAGAAACAAGAAAATGTGGAAAAGAAAGGAAAAAAAAAAGGTTTAATGTGATGAGAGAAATTACATTTTGTGATGAAAGCAGGTTGATCAAGTGTTAATGGGATTTCATATTTGAATCAGTTGGATATCATTACACTAAAATGGTTTAATGTGCTTACGCCATTTGCTAATCTTATCAGTGGAACCAATTGAAAGCTAAAAGCAGTTTACTGTGGTGATGTGGCACACAAAAGCATAAACCCAATACATTAAAAATAAAATAAAATAAAGGAACAAATAAGAGAGGTGGCCGCAGACTATGGTGACCTAACCTCACTCAGCCAAAATTGAGACGCGATATCTGTTGAAAGGTGATGCCGATAATGGCTTAATTGTCAATGGAGAAATAATGAGCAGATAAGTGTTCGCTTGATTGATCCCTCAGCCTCGAAAAAGACTTGTAATAGGGATAACAGCTATTTCCGGTCAATAACATAATGACACGTGGAAAAGTTATCCCACGTGTCATTGTGTTATTGGCCGGGAATTTACCATCATGTTGCAAGAGAGTTTCTCTCGCCTAAGCTTCTGCAGATCAAGTAATTACCTCTGTTACAATTTGATCAACCTATATTTTGGTCAATGATGTATTAATTGCAAAGCAAGGTTTCACGCGTTGGATTTCCAGTTGTTGGGTTTACCCTGTTAACAGAAACAGCGGATTCATTACAAAGGAAGCATTTTTGTGAAGATGAATATGCATAATAAATAAGTTATCTTACCCATCAGCAATTCTGCAAAGATATTCCCGTTGATCTTCTCTCAGAGGCACATCTGTGAAGTCTGACCACACAGAGAGCAAATCATCCAAAATTCATTATGTGCTTGATTTTAAGTATTGCAGACGACTTGGCCAAAAAAAAAAAAAAAAAAAAAAAAAAAAAAAAAACATTAAAAGCTTGGTTTGCCCCAAGGAAATGCAAACATTCCATTATATTTTCCACAGAATATTAGGGCTCAAAGGCACTCCTCAGTACGGAAACTGGCAAAAACTGAAGGCACTCTGGAGAGATTACTAGACTCCACACCGAGGTGCAAAAATTAATTGCTTTGTTTTCTAAATTTACATTTTCTTTTAGTAGCACTAAACACAGCTCGCATGGATTCGAGCACACCTTGAGATGAAGTTCCTAATGATAGGGGCTAAGTCAAGGCTATCAAAAATATCATGATTGAGCAAATGTATTACCTGCACCCGTAATGTTTGATCCTTTGAAAGATGTGTTGCCTGTGGCAAGTGCACCTTCCAAGAGAGCGTTGCTCAGATTTGCCTGCAGAAATGGTACATGCATGTGTAAGAACATTAGAAAACGTTATGGAAACTTGTCATTCTTTATGTTCTTTGCTTGGAAACAATTGAACCTTGGGCCTTGTAGAATCCTAAATGGATGGTTACCACCAAAACCTGAGCCATTGACCAATAGACAGGGATTCGGGAATTAACTCAATACAGTCAGGGTGAAAACTAACAGATTTTAGAAAGGGAATCTGGAAATTTTATAAGGTTCTACTAAACTGGTAGAGGAAAACCTTTTCCACTGCCGAATCTACAGGTTATCCCTGTCAGATAGACTTATCTGTTTTGTTCAAGTTATGATGGGGGTCCTATTAACTTGACTGAAAGATCAACCAAATTCATTCTCAATGCATCTCAAAAGGACAATACTGATTATAATGATAGTGAGGCAGTGCCAAAAAATTAACACAGTATGGTGAAACCTGCTAGCTACACACAGAACTATCTCCTCATTCTGCTTATTATTCCACGCTATAATCGGATGACTCCCAGCAATGGGAGCTTCAGACACACAGTCCAAGTAAGTACATATTAGGATATTACAGGGAAGACTACTAAGCCCCACCCCTATCTACACTTTTCACCATTTACCAACCCAGGTTGCATAAACAGATTGCCTGATAGCAAAGAACATCTAAATTCTCAGTGAAAATAGAAAACACAAAAAACTGCAGAAGGATTTCTTACAAATCAAATAGAAAATTAAAATGTTCCATCAAAGTTCACCTTTGTCACATTGGCCAAGGAGAAGTCTACACCTCTTAGATCAGCATCAGAAAGATCAGCCCCTGGAGAGAGAATATCACGGTAAATAATATAATGAATAGGCCATGTTCTTTGGCTGTATATCAGGTATATGCTTAATCTGTAATTCAAGCCACATGCATATTTCAAGAGTTGCTTGTTTGTTCCTTGTTGCAATATCCTTCCTAAACAATTCTGACATGTGCCATTGTTGCTCAGAAATTACAGTATTTATTTGGATACAATCTCAGTTTGCCACCTAACTCACATTATATATTTTAAACCCACATTAATAATTTAAACCTATATAATCTATTTTTTTTTATAATGAAAATTATTAATAATAAAGTACCTGTTAGATCAGCATCAAAGAAGCTTGCACCTAATAACTTGGCGCCTCTGAAATTTGCTTGTCTCAATATGGACTGTACAACACAATCAACACAAAAACTCAAAATCTATGAATGCATTAAACAGCAAACAATTAAATGAAAGAAATGTGTGCGTGTGTTTGAGCTAAATTTTATCGATTTGGACCGTTTTGAAGTCTTGCTTGATCAAAGTCTTGCCGCTAAAGTCCTTGCCGCTGAGGTCCTGGCCTCTAGTCACCTCTGAACCGTACGGACCTCCACCCTTTTTCACCAACAACGACACGAAATTTAGTGCAATGATTTATTTTCCTTCACTTTCTCGGGAAGCAAACAGAGCATAGTTACTAAAACCTTACCTTAAAGGCGAGTGCCGGATTGGCTACGAACAGAGAAGCAGAGAGCAGAGCGATCAGGCTGGCCTTGCAGACCGAGTCGCCCACGGACAACACAACGTTTCTAGAGGCTTCGAGGTGATTCTTTACAACCTTGAAAGAAATTTCAAAGTGATTAAATAATGAGATGGAATTGGCTAAGGTACGCGGGTGTGCGCAATGCGCCAAATGTGGAATTGAACAAGAGAGACGGAGCCAAAGGGGATGAGGTGCGCAGTGTACCTGGGGCGCAGGATAGCCGGAGAGATAGAGGTGTTGGCGGGAAGGGTGAGGATTGGAGGAAGAGAGAGGGGGTTTTGGTGGGAGTTTGGAACAGAGGGAGACGTTGAGAACCGCCATTTGCGAATTTTTCTAATCGGATTTTTCTTTCGTTTTGTGTCGCGGATAATGAGCGAAATCTGAACGGATATATGGGCTGGTCTTGTGTCCACCTGCTCACACCTATCAGTGACCCCCCCCAAACAAAAAAAAAGCGATTTCTAATTTTCAATTTTAAGCAACTATAAATACCTTAATTCGTACAATTATTAAAGTTATTCTTCACTTGACAAATCTTATTTTGAAAGTATAATTTCGCCATATCCCTTTGTTTTGTTGTGTCAACTTTTCAAATTTGGATCATATATGATATAGATGATAAAAAAACTTTCGATTTTAGATCGCATAAGAGTTGTTCTCCTATATATAAAGGAAGTTATAAATAGGAGTAGATGTAGTTCGATTTGAATTTGTTTCACCGCTAATTACAATTAAAGTAATTAATCAAACCACAATTGAGCGATCTGATTCTTAGTTTTTTAGGCTTAAGCTTAATACAATACACAATTATATCATTTTTTTTTTAGTGCTTTTATTTTTTATAACTTGCATTTGCAAATTTTCCAAGTCTAATCGTCATGTAAAATAAGACACAACAATTCTAACATAGACAATTAAAACAATTTAAATTAAAGCACATGTGAATCTAAGATTGAATATACCATTAGAACAACATTAAACTTTCATCAAACAAAAAAAAAAAAAAAAAAAAAAAAAAAAAAAAAAAAAATTTAATGTTGTCTTGTGTTTGATTAATAGTTCGCTTGGTTTGAAAAAAAATAAATTTTCGATTGGTTTAAGATCCACCCCGAGTTAGAATGATTGAAACAAAAAAGATTAGAACTCTTGCTCAAAAAAAAAAAGAAAAAAAAAAGAAAGAAAGAAAGAAACGTTTTACTATTATTGAGAGATTATTATTATTTGAAAAAAATAAAAATGAAACACGGTGGACTCTTCTTGTTTACTAGTTGATACTTTCTTCTTCGTTTATTTCTTCCTCCTCTAGATCCTTGGCCGGACAGTAGGGATTCGACCTCGCTCCTCCATTTTCGAACCAAGGTACACTTCTCTCTCTCTCTCTCTCTCTCTCTCTCTCTCATTAATCCCTTAACTTTACTCACTTGCCTTCGCATTTCGAATTTTTGTTGTCTTTTTTATTTTCTGACTTTGATGGATCGCATGCTCCACCCGATCTGGTAGCAGAGCAGTAGACCGGTCGAACGTGAAGCTTGCAATTGGAACTGGCACAGCGGGAGAGAGGGAGGAACCGGATTTGAGAGGCATCTGTCTTGGGATCGCTGGCGAGGTTGAAAGGAGGGCTCTCGGGTAAGTATACAAACGAACATTGGAATTTGAATTCTTAGTCACGACCAAATCTGATATTTGGGACACGTCCAGACTCTGGATTTGACGGTGGAAATTGCCAATGTCAAAATCCATTTTATATCTGCGGAACCAAAAAGAGCCAATTTTAGTTTCCTGTTTTTTGGGGCGAGCTGATTAGTGTTTCTTTTAGCTTTAAGTTACCTGTTTAGAGTCAAATCTTTAAGTTTGGACGAAGATGCTAGAATGTAAATTAGTACTTCAAGGTTGCGGGAAACTTGAGTGTGTTTTTGTATGGTTCCATGAAATCTGATTTTTCTTTTATTTTAGTTTTTTTTTTGGTTAAACTGTTAGTTGGACATTTAGTATGAAGCATACCAACCTGACACTGTTTTCTCAGGGAAAGGTAATATAGATTTTCTTGTCATTTCTAGTGTGTTTGGATGGTATGTGTGCATGTAAAGACACCTACACTAAAGAGGAGTTTGGGAAGTTATGGCTGTGGTATTTGGTTAGAGTTGCGATGAGGGTGGGTGCCGGGCAGTTATGGTTGCTGAAAGTTAGTGGTAATGGTTATTGTAATTTTATTGTCTGCTTACGTTATGATTAGAAAAGTTGTCATTGAGGCTTCTCCATTACTTGTTGCACTTCATTCAGCTTATCTGGTATGTTGATTTTCTAGGTATCCATTTCCTATGCTTGTTTGCCTTCTCTACATAGAAGTTGGTGAATACCACTAGAACTTGGGTTCTGTTCGAAGAATATTGTTAGAGAAATGGGCCGTCTAAAGTTGCAAAGTGGAATCAAGGCAATTGAGGAAGAACCCGAGGACTGTGATGCAACCTATTCCAATAAAGCTACATTAGCATGCATCATCAATTCAGAAATAGGTTCTGTATTAGCGGTTATGAGGAGGAATGTTAGATGGGGAGGACGTTATACATCAGGTGATGATCAGCTGGAGCATTCTCTAATCCAGTCTTTAAAGGCATTACGCAAGCAAATCTTTTCATGGCAACATCAATGGCATACCATCAATCCTGCTGTATATCTCCAGCCATTTTTGGATGTGATTAGGTCGGATGAAACTGGTGCACCAATCACCGGTGTCGCTTTGTCATCTGTTTATAATATCTTAACACTTGATGTGATGGATCAGAACTCCGTAAATGTTGAAGAGGCTATGCACTTGTTAGTTGATGCAACCACTAGTTGCCGTTTTGAGGTGACTGATCCTGCATCAGAAGAAGTGGTACTGATGAAGATACTTCAGGTGCTTCTGGCTTGCATGAAGAGTAAAGCATCTGTTATGTTGAGTAATCAGCATGTTTGCACTATAGTGAATACATGTTTCCGTATAGTTCATCAAGCAGGAACAAAAGGCGAGTTGTTGCAGCGGATAGCTCGTCACACCATGCATGAACTCGTCAGATGTATTTTCTCACATCTTCCAGATGTTAATGACACTGAACGTGCTTTGCTAAATGGAAGCAATACTGTCACGCAAGAGGTAATACTACTTTCAAAGTTTACATGTATTATAGGGGCTTAGAGGTGATCTGTTGATTAAGGAGTGAAATAGTTAGTTGGTCTCGCAAATGTCCAATTTAAAGACTTTCTTTGTGAATATGTGGTTATTTTTCATGTGCAGATTGCAGGGCTAAATAATGAGTATTCTTTTGGGAATAGACAATTGGAGAATGGCAATGTGAGTTCTGGGTATGATGGTCAACCATTATCCACAAATCCGGCCTCGAATTCTTCCTCAGGCCTGGTAGCATCTGTGATTGATGAAAATAAAATTGGGGATTCTACTGGGAAGGATGCTGTTCAATACGACTTGCATCTCATGACTGAGCCATATGGAGTCCCCTGCATGGTGGAAATATTTCACTTTCTATGTTCTTTGTTAAATATTTCTGAGCATATGGGAATGGGTCCCAGATCTAATACCATAGAATTTGATGAAGATGTGCCTTTTTTTGCCTTGGTTTTGATTAATTCAGCTATAGAGTTGGGTGGATCTTACATTCAGAATCACCCCAAGTTATTGAGTTTGGTTCAGGATGAATTGTTTCGGAATCTGATGCAATTTGGCCTATCAACAAGTCCAATTATTCTTTCAATGGTGTGCAGCATTGTTCTTAATTTGTATCATCATCTGCGCACTGAACTTAAATTACAGCTTGAGGCTTTCTTTTCTTGTGTGATATTGAGGCTTGCACAAAGTAGATATGGAGCGTCTTATCAGCAGCAGGAGGTTGCCATGGAGGCTCTTGTTGACTTCTGCAGGCAGAAAACTTTCATGGTGGAGATGTACGCTAACTTAGATTGTGACATAACTTGCAGTAATGTCTTTGAAGAACTTGCTAATCTGCTGTCGAAAAGTGCATTCCCTGTCAATTGCCCTTTGTCTTCGATTCACATTCTTGCTTTGGATGGTCTTATTGCTGTTATTCAGGGAATGGCAGAGAGGGTAGGGAATGGATCAGTTAGTTCTGCGCATACTCCAGTGCATCTTGAAGAGTATACTCCATTCTGGATGGTGAAGTGCGAAAACTACAGTGATCCTAGTGATTGGGTTCCATTTGTTCGCCGGAGGAAGTACATAAAGAGAAGGCTAATGATTGGAGCCGATCATTTTAACCGTGACCCGAAGAAAGGGCTGGAGTTCCTCCAAGGAACACATCTCCTGCCTGACAAACTTGATCCGCAAAGTGTGGCCTGCTTTTTCAGGTACACTGCTGGGCTGGACAAGAATCTTGTTGGGGATTTTCTGGGAAATCATGATGAGTTTTGTGTTCAGGTTCTTCACAAATTTGCTGGTACCTTTGATTTCCAAGATATGAACTTGGATACTGCACTGCGACTTTTTTTGGAGACGTTTCGGTTGCCTGGAGAATCTCAAAAGATTCAAAGGGTTCTTGAAGCATTCTCAGAGAGATACTATGAGCAATCACCACTAATTCTAGCTAACAAGGATGCTGCTCTTCTGTTGTCTTATTCACTCATAATGCTCAACACAGATCAGCACAATGTTCAGGTAAAGAAGAAAATGACTGAGGAGGATTTCATTCGGAATAATAGACACATCAATGGAGGCAGTGATCTTCCTCGAGAATTCCTGTCAGAGCTTTACCACTCAATATGCAAGAATGAGATCCGCACAACTCCAGAGCAAGGTGCTGGTTATCCTGAAATGACCCCAAGCCGGTGGATTGATTTAATGCACAAATCCAAGAAGAATGCTCCATTCATTGTGTCCGATTCCAGAGCCTACCTGGACCATGATATGTTTGCTATAATGTCAGGCCCTACAATTGCTGCTATCTCTGTGGTATTTGATCATGCAGAGCATGAAGAGGTTTACCAAACATGCATTGATGGATTTTTAGCTGTTGCAAAGATTTCAGCATGCCATCATCTTGAAGATGTCCTGGATGATTTGGTTGTGTCTCTTTGTAAGTTCACAACCCTTTTAAACCCATCATCTGTTGAGGAACCTGTGCTAGCCTTTGGTGATGATGCAAAAGCTAGAATGGCAACTGTGACAGTTTTCACAATTGCCAATAGGTATGGTGATTACATTCGCACAGGTTGGAGAAATATTTTGGACTGCATCCTAAGATTACACAAGCTTGGTCTTCTTCCGGCTCGTGTGGCCAGTGATGCAGCTGATGAGTCAGAGTTTTCTGCTG